CTGGCAGGTGGTGTGGTGGTTAAAGGTGCTGGATTCCCACAGGGCCAACTGTGTTTAGAGTCCTGGACCTAGCAGCTTGCCTTCTTGCTTTCCATCTCTCTCTCTTTCTCTCTCTCTCTGATCGAATTAAAAATAACAATAACAAATGGAATTAAATAAACAAATAAATAAATCTTTTTAAAATTTCATTATTAAAAAAAAATTAACTACATGTTGTTTCTTCAGCTGGGAACTTCCTGCTCCGTACAGACGCCCATGCCCAGCTGTCTCCCCACTCCACACGGGGCCTCAGGCCAAACTTCTCCTCTGCCCCGGCACCTGCGCTTCCTGGCATCTCAGTGAAAGGCAGAGGTGGTTGGGCTGAGACAGGCCATCCCTGACTGTTCTTTCCCTCACAGCCACGGCAGCCATCCATTGGCCAGACCAGTCACCCCATCTTCAAAACAGACTCATAATCTGTCTGATTCTCCGCCCTCAGTGGCTCCCACCCTGGCCTGGCCCCCATGCTGGGACCATCCCAGCAGGCTCTTGTCTCTATGTCCCCTCTCCTCACTGACTCCATGGTCTGTCCCCAACATGCAGCCAGAGGGAGCATCTGAGTAGGGTCATGTCCCTTCCCTGCTCAGAGACCTGCCCTGGCTCTTGTCACATAGGAGAAGGGACAAATCCTCCCATGTGGCTCATAGGGCCCTCCATGATTTATCATTGTCACCCCCCGACCTGTTTTCTTCCACTTTCTCCCACAACTCTCATAGCTCACTCAGATCCAGTTTCTTGGAATTCTCCAAACAGGCGAAATACAGTCTCACCTCAGGACCTTTGCACTGGCTGTTTCCTTTGCCCGGAATGCGCTCTTCCCCCAGATACCCCAGGGCTCCCTTCCCTCCCCTCACAGGCCTTTGCTTAAATGTCACCTTCTCAGTAAGGCCTCCCCTGGCCACCTTGCTGTCCACAGCACCTCCAGGGCTGGCAAGGACTGAGTCCCCCAGAGAGCCATCACCCTCGGACGTGCTGGGCATATGACGTCTTTGGCTGGCCCATCACCTCTGCCCATGTTAGAGCGTCAGCTCCAGGACGGCAGCCATAGCTGGCACTAGGTTGGCACTCAGGAAGCATATGCTATGGTGGAAGCTGACAAACAAGGATGCCCCCCCGGGGCCGGGGTGTGGACTTTGCCAAGTCATATGGATAGCAAGTGGCCTCAAGGGAGCTGATCACATCGGAGCAATGTCCATGAATGAAACGGACTCTCTGGGCTGACGGGTCAGGTGTACTCTGAGTTTGGACTCCTCTGTCTCTTCCCCCACCAGCACCACCAGCCCCAGGACACCTGCCCCATTGCAGAAATCTGTTCCTAAAATGAATTCCTCCTCCCCCTGGTGGCAGCTGCAGAGGCTGCAGTGTTGAACTGCAGGGTACAGGAAGAGAAGACAAGAACACCTATTTATAGTCCAGTGTTCCCCTAAGTGGCAGTTTATAGTCCCACATTCTGGGGTGCACTTACAGCACACACATCCCCTACTGCAGGATGTTATGTAATCTCAATAGACAGTCACGAGACACAGGTAGGGGCGCAAATGTGATTTCCTGTTAGGGCGGAAGTTCCCAGAGACTTACTGACTAATCCAAAGCCAATGACGTGAGCCAGCCTTGCCTGAGGACTGCGGGTGAGGACCTTGGCTCAGCACCTGGCATGGCTGCGCCATGCCCTATGGCATGTCCAGTGCCACGTTTATAATTGTGTAGATTATTTAAAAAGTGCTCTTCCTGAGGACCCAATGCCAGCCTGTTGGACAGTGATCACAGAGTGCTGCTTTTCTTAGATCAGGCCATGTGCTCGGGAACCCTCAGAGCACACACGCCATCTGGGTTGTCTGTGGTGCAGACGGCATCTCGCAGATATGGGGGCCTTTCACAGTACACACGGCGTGGCCTGAAAGGAACCCACTGCCACCTCGCCACAGGCCCACGAGGGAGAAGCTATGCTGGCTGCTGTTTTACACAAGGGGAAACGGAGGCCGAGGAGAAGTGACTCACCACAGGTTGCCCCAAAAAGGAGCAGCAAGTCTGCTGAAGTCGCCACTGCCCTAGGCATGCACAGTCCCAGGACACCCCGCCCACCCTGCCCTCTTCCCACGGGGTGCCCGCAGCCCCCTACCTGCGTGTAGCAGCGCAGAAGCAGCCCCTTCTCCTTCAGCAGGCGGATGAAGTAGTGACAGATGGTGGGCTGGAGGGGAGTAACCATAGCAACGCTGAGGACACAGTGAAGGCTTGCAGGTGCCAGGAACTGTGGTAGGCACCATGCCTGTTTCACCTCACAGAATCGTCGCCACCACCTCATGAGGGAGAGACTATCGCTGTCCCCATATTTCACAGATGAGGAAATTGAGGCATATGGTGGTCGCATGTCTTTTTTCTTTTTTTTTTTTAAATTTTGCTAGAGAGTGTATGCCCTTGCCTCAGGGAGGAGGAGGTCGGGGACAAGTAGGTAGGGACGTCAGAAAGTACTCCCTCAGGGGGGTGGCCACACCATAATCCCTTCTCCATTTCTCCTTTTAGAATTTTGGGCATGCAGGGACATGTGCCTGGCATGTTTGTTTGTTTGTTTGTTTTTGGTTTTTCGCTATAGGGCGCGTGTGCTCACCAGACAGACAGAGAGAGACAGAGACAGAAAGCGAGAAATCACCCCCCAGGGGAGATGGCCACACCGCAATCCCTTCTCCTCCATTCTCCTCTCAGGATCTTGGGCACACATGCACATGCGCCCAGCGTGAGTTTTAAGCCACCGGGTCCGAGACGTGAACCGCGGTCGACTACATGGGAGTCCAGCGACATAGCCATTACGCTAACTGCTGGTCCTGCGCCTGGCATGTTTTTTGAGCCACCTGGTCTGGGACTCAAACTGTGCAGTTGGCCATGTGGGATCCAGCTGCCTTGACTACCATGCCACTGGCTGGCCCTGTCTTGCCGTAGTCGCGTGGTTGGTGGGGCTACAGAGTTGGGATTCACACCCAGGCAGGCTGGCTCCAGAGTCTGGGTGGTTATATGCATTATTAACTCATTTAAGTCTCATAGCAATACTCTCATCAGCTCCATTTCCCAATGGGAAAACTAGGCTCAAGGTCAGAAGACAAGGAAGTGAGGGACTGGGGACTGAACACAGGCAGTCTGGGCCTCACACTCCTGTATTTAATGGCTCCGTTATCTGTGTCCACAGGGCCTCCCCAAGCTGGCTCTCCTCCAACTCTTCCTGTCCCTCTCACCCCCTGCAAAAATGATCTCACCTTGAACTGCCCAGGATAGAGTTCCTTGGCAAGGGCGAAGAAGGGTTCTGGATGTTTCTGTGGGAGAGAGGGCCAGAGGGCCAGATGCCCCAGGTGAGATGAAGATTGGGGCCAGGAGACCCCCATCCCCTCCCCTCATTACAGACATGCCCTCCTGAGGAAGCAGGTACCTTGAAGTAGCCGATCTCAAAGATGGCCTCTGGGTAGGGAAGACGGTACTTCTCTAGGTTGGCGTAGAGGCCCGTGGATGGAGAGCGGAAGTCGGGGATGCCTGCCGCTGGGGGAGGAAAGGCAGGAAGTGACTGACTAGGGATGCTGGCCCCAGTCTACCACATGAACCTCCTAGGCCAGCACTCCTCCCCAGCCCCTGGGAGGGGCTCCTCATACCTGGGAGCAGTTACCGGGGTGAGGGGCACTTACACGTGGAGATTCCAGCTCCCACCAAACAGATGACCTTGCGACCTGGAAGAGAGTTTATGCATCGTTTGACATGACGTGCTAGCTCCTACAATACCGCATCTGTCACAGCTCTGGATGCTGTTTGATCCATGCCAGGCCCTGGGACAAACAGATGCACCATGGTCTTCCCAACCATCTTGAGGGGGCTGATGTTAACATCCCCATTGTACAGAAGAGGAAACCGAGGCTCAGATAGGGGAAGAGGTCATGCAATCAATTTGTGAAAGAGCCAACAAGGGGAAATTACATCTACTTAGAGAGACACAAAAAGCTGCTCGAGAAGTTTCTTCTCCTAATTAGAGCAGCACACAGAACGACAAGAGGCCTCAGTGAGGAGGCTGGGGGTATAGGTAGAAAGGGCCATTCCCCAGGAAGAGCTGTAGGTTATTATTATTATTTTTCCCCTCACAAGAGAGAGACAGAGAAGGAAAGTGTGAAATCACATCTGGGGGATGGCCATGCTGCAATCCCTTCTCCTCCATTTTCCTCTCAGGATTTGGGCATGCACACACTCACACCTAGTATTTTTTTTTTTTTTAATTATTATTTTATTTAATTATTTATGTATTCATTCATTTTTAATTTTGACCAGACACACATACATACACACACACACACACACACAGAGGGTAAGTGAGAAAGCCAGCCATCAGGTCTGGGACTTGAACCATGATCACCCATGTAGGAGTGTCCAGCACCTTAACCACCATGCCACTTGCTGGTACCCGCTAGTGTGATTTTTCAAGTCACTGGGTCCAGGACTCGAACTTCAGTTGACCATGTGGGAGGCCAACACTTTACCACATCACCTACTGACCCTGAACTGCAGGTAATTATAAACACCTTGGCAAGACTGACCGCCTCTTTAGGACACCATCCTGGAGGAACACTGTTACTTTCCTCTGTAATTGAACCCACATCAGCCGCTTGAGGCCTGATCGTTTTCAGATGAAAACCAAAGATTTGCTATGCCTGGCCCACACTCAGTGAGGAGTACAGTGGGTGAGGCCTCCAAGGCTCTCCTGTTCACTGCCTGCGGGGCCTCCGTTCACATCACCACTCTGGGCTTCTGTGGAGTTCAGATCTAAGCTTAGATTAGTGCCAGGCACCAAGCAAATACTAAATATATGTTTGCTATTAGTCTTTGGGTCAATTGTACTAAACTAGTTTTTTTTAATTGCCAGAGGGTGTGTACGCTCACCAGAGAGAGGGAGGGAGAAAGCATCCCCTAGTGGGGTATGGTCATACTGCAGGCCCTTCTCTTCCATTTCCCCATCCTGTTGGGATTTTGGATCATGCATGCACATGCACAGCATCTTTCAAGCTGCTGGGCTGGGATTTTTTTTTTTTTTTGAGAGGTTTTTGCTATAGGGTATCTGCACTCGCCAGACAGACAGAGACAGACAGAGAGACAGAAAGTGAGAAATCACCCTCCAGGGGGGATGGTCACACCACAATCCCTTCTCCTCCATTCTCCTCTTGGGATCTGGGGCACACACGCACATGTGTCTGGAGTGTGTTTAAGCCACCGGGTCCGGGACACGAACCGCGGTCGACTACGTGGGAATCCAGTGACATAGCCATTATGCTAACTGCTGGTCCCTGGGCTGGGATTTGAACATCAGTTGGCCAAGCGGGATCAAGTTCTCTTAACCACTAGGCCGGGGCCAGCCCTGCACTAAACTTTCTGAGACCTATGATTCATACACTTGTAAGCACTGTGCTACCCCATTTGTACCAGTTTTCATTAATAAATATGGGAAGATGGCGTTGGAAGTGGATCAGCTCACTAGCACGCCGGCTAAGCAGCCCTGTGGCTGCCTCAGCTGCTGGCTCATGGCGGGCTGGCAGGCAGCCTGGCCACGAGGTAGACCTGGCATCTGCCATCAGCTGACGGACAGACGCAAATGTGAGGCCCTGTGAATCAGGCACTCCTGGGGCACCTTGTCCAAGAGAAGACAGCAAGTGAGCAAGGCCAAGGCCTCCCTCCGCTTTTGTCTCTGAGACGTATCAGACCAAGCTCGGCTGCCTCCAGCAGGGGCTGGAAGGGGAGCACATGCTCTGGATTCAGGGGGTCTGGAGTCAAACCCTGACTCCTCAGTTTTCTTCTCTGTTCAGATCACTCATGCCCTGACCTCTAGGTACAGCATGAAGATCAAGCACGAGGGTGCCTGGAAGGCTGTGCCTAGCGCCTGGCCAACAGGGAGGGCTCAAGGGATCATTATCATTTCCCCTTATCCCTCAAGGAGCCAGCCCCACAACCCAGGGCAGGAAGATGGAAAAAACAAATGCTTTGTGGCCACTGTCTGATTTCTCCTTGGGGTCCATCCAGGTCAGAACATGCTGTAGACAGCTGCCTGCTGGCCCCAGGAGGCTCGGGGCAGCAGGAAGACCAGGAAACCCGAGAAGATGTCCTCAACAAAAGGCTGCTCAGGAGCTTCAAAGGGTGAATTGTTCCAGTGAGCACTGAGCACTGCCGAGGGCCTGGCTTCTCAGACTTCGGTGACCTCGAGTTGCACAGTGACCTAGTAAACAGGCGCCTGTACGGCACACCTGCAGCATGCTTCCTGTGATAATAGCCACAGCGAAGCTGCTTCTGATCTGAGCCCAGTGACTCACTCAGCGAGAGAGGTGTGACCCAGATCTGGCCAACCGGAGACATGGCCCTTGAGTTGAGGCAGGTATATGACTCAGCCTGGGCCAACTGGAGCCACCTTCTGCCATTCTGCCTGTACTGCTGGGGGAAAGGTGTTCTCAGCTCAGTAGTGGAAGCTGCTAGGCTGAGGGGAGTTACATTCGGAGTTGTCAGGAGTGACCTTTACTCCAACATGGAGGGAACCAGTGCCTGAGAGAGTCATTTGCTTATTGAAAGTTTGCCAGAGGGACCAGCAGTTAGCATAATAGCTATGTTGCTGGACTCCCATGTAGTTGACCGTGGTTCAAGTCCCAGACCCGGTGGTTTAAACTCACACCGGGCGCGTGTGCGTACATGCCCAAGATCTCGAGAGAATGGAGGAGAAGGGATTGTGGCATGGCCATCCCCCCTGGGGGGTGATTTCTCGCTTTCTGTCTCTCTGTCTCTGTCTTTCTGGCTAGTGCACGTGCCCTATAGCAAAAACCTCTCAAAAAATAAACAAATAAAATAAATAAAAGTTTGCCAGAGGGAATGATAATAATAAATAAAATTTTAAATTAACTCTTTTTTTAAAAGAGATGTTTTTGCTATAGGGCATGTGTATTTGCTGGAGAGACAGAGACAGAAAGCAAGAAATCACTCCTTGAGGGGGATGGCCATGCCACAATCCCTTCTCTTCCATTCTCCTCTTGGGATTTTGAGCACACATGCACATGTGCCCAGCATGAGTTTCAGTCTTCCTGCTCTGGGACTTGAACCACAGTTGGCCAGTGATGTAACCATTATACCATCTGCTGGTCCCAAAAATTAATTTTTTTAAAATTATTTATTTATTCATTCATTTATTTTAATTTGACCAGAGAGCGACACAGACAGAGAGAAAGAGACAGAGAGAGAGAGGGAAAGTGAGAAAGCAAGCCACTAGGTCCAGGTCCTGAACCATGGTTGGGCATGTGGGAGTTTCCAGTGCCTTAACCACCATGCCACCTGTTGGCCCCTGGTCCCAAAAATTAATTCTTTAAATTCTCTAGAGGGAGTGAGACACAGAAAGAGGGAGGAGAAAGCACCCCCCAAGTGGCCATGCTGACATCCCTTCTCTATTTCTCCATCCTTTGGGGATTTGGGGTAACAGAAATACACACATATCTGGCATGTTTTCAGCCTCTGGAACTGGGATTTGAACTGGCTTCCTTAACCAGCCCAAGAGTTAGGATTTTTGACAACATGGAAGCACCTGCATGGTTTTAGTTACAGCATTGGCATAAGTTTAGTGGGTTTCTCGCTATTTATGAACAAAAGGTGTGAATGACTGTTCCAGCCCCTGAGAGTCAGAAGTCACATTGGGCCAGGAGCTGGGGAAGCAGCTGGCTTTTGCAGGGGACTTACAGCGCTCACTCTGCATGTATCGGGTCACCCCCTCCAGGGTGAGCTCATCCAGCAGACGCTCCTTCTGGGTGCCCAGGCCCAGCGTTTGGGAGAAGAAATTCCGCAGGAAGTCCACTGGTCAAGAGGAGAGAGACAGCAGCTGTGTGGGCATTCAGCCAGGGTACATGGATGTCCCCAGTGACCTGCCGCAGCCATGGGTTCCCCTGGTCTCCCACAACCTAAGGCACAAGCCTGGCCTAGCCAGGGGGCGCTAGGACCCTGCTCTGGTGCTGGCACCAACCCCACTGCTCTACACTTGGAATGTCACCTCTGGTGGAGTTGAGACCCTTCCTCTAAAGTCCTCCTCCCCCGCCAGAACCACCAGAACCGCACTCCCGGACCCTTAAAGATACTTACTCTCTGCTTCTCCGCCAGCTGCTCCTTCCTCAGTGTCTGACTCTGAGTCCTGGAAGAGGTGAAGTGGGGTGGCCAGGCCCAAGAACTGGGATTAGGGCAGGAGGATGGAGGACAGGGCTGACACTGGATTTGGGGAAAGGCTGGAGGTGGCCCGAGGAAGTGAGGGACAGTAGGGGACAGTGCTGGGACCAGTGTGAGGGCTTGGGGACAGGCAGTCTGGGTTGGACACCTGCCCTGCCACTCCCTAGGCCATGACCTTCTGTGAGTGACTTCACCTGTCTGAGTCTCAGGGCTCCTATCTTGGAAGTACAGCTCAGAGGACTTAGCCCATGAATGCATGGCGCGGCCCAGGGCTGGCTCCTGCTCGGAGAGTGTGCTGTGGGCCTGCTGCCCCACCGGCCTTGCAGCCTGCTCAGTGGAGCCCCTCCTGTGAATAACGCCAGGGGGAGGCCTCAGCGCTCGCCTCGTGGCCCTGTCGGCCCCTGCTCAGAGCCCTCACTCTGTGCCCTCCTTTCGGATCCCTTCCATAGCCTTCATTGATGCCGCCCCATGACTGGGCGCCAGACTGTGGCTCTCTAGGACTCTGTCCTGCCTGCTTTCTCTCCTCGCCTTCCCTGGGCTACCTGTCTCAACCCTGCCAATGGCCTCAGTTGCTGGTGATGCCACTTCTCTGTCCCCAGAACCAGGGTTCCCATGACCTCCTGGATGCCTTGCCCTAGGTGACCTCCAAGTGCCTCACGCCAATTGTGTTCCAGACTGGCCTCAGCATCTCCCCCAAATCTGCTCCTCCTCAGATTCCCACCTCAGTGCAGTCTCCCTGTCCCTCAGTCAGCCAGAAACCTCCTGCCTTGCTCCCTTGCCCTCCTGCCACAGTCCTTCAGGCCTGTAGAGGCCCTCTATCCACCCTCTTCCCCTTCCTAGAGCTCACCCTGGTCCAGCCTGTTCTCTCGCCTCCCAGGTCCTGACCAGGCTTCCTCTCTGGGTTCCCCACTTCAGTATCCACCTCCCATCTACCCTGCTACATTCCACGGGTGGGCCTGTCCGGATCAGCCCATTCCTTTCTACTTCAGGCCCTTCTGTTTGGCTTCTCCGGTCTCATCAATTGATCACAGACATCTATGGTGTCCACCACGATGCCTGCTCACGAGGGCAGCGCCTTTGTCTGCATGTTCACTACTGAATGCCCAGCATGGGAGTCAGGGTCTAGCACCTGACAGAAGCTCCAGAACCATCCACCCCTGGATGAATGCCTGCTGCATGCTAGAACAGGGCTGGGTCCTGCGATGGACCTCATGCAAACACAGTTCTGGCCAGCTCGCTCTCCTGCATAAAAGCCCCCAACAACTCTCCTTCCCTGATGACTCACTACTCTGGCTCTGAGTGACCCTTCCAAACTTATTTTTAAAAAGTTGTATTGCTTTTTAAGATTGCACAAGCTTTGCCAAAACTTCGGCCATGAGGCAATGTATAACTTGGGCTCTTGCCTTATAATTCCCCATCTCACTCCCAGCTGAGATAACCACTATTCACAGTTCAATATTAATTGCTCCAAGTTTTTTCTCTGCATATAAAAACTCATTATTTTTGCAGAAATTGGTCATATCACGATGCTGCAGCTTGCCCCGTCCACAGAACAATATACTATAGGCCCACCTCATTCTTTTAAGCAGCTACATAGTATGGCATTGTATGGAGGAACCATAGTTCATTTAACCCGTCTACTGACAGCCATTTGGGCCCTTTCCAGTTTTGCCCCATTACGGACAATGCTGCAATTTACGTCCTCGCATCTCCCTCTTTGGGACTGAGGAGCTCTTTTTTTTTAATTACATGCTTCTTAAAGGTTTTTTTTTTTTTTTTTTAACCATAGGGCACGGGTGCTCACCAGAGGGGGGAGTGAAAAAGCACCCCCTTGGGGCCAGCAGTGGCGTGGTGGTTAAGGTGCTGGACACTCCCACATGGCTGACCACGGTTCAAGTCCTAGGCCTGGCAGCTTGCTTTCTCACTTTCCTTCTCTCTCTCTGTCTCTCTCCGATCAAATTAAAATAAAATGAATGAATAAATAAAATTAAAAAGAAAAAGAAAAAGTACCCCCTCAGGGGGATGGTCACACCACAATCCCCGTCTCCTCCATTCTCTTCTGGGAACTCTGCGCACACGGACACACGTGCCCGGCATGTTTTTCAAGTCGCCGAGTCTGGGCTTGAACTGCATAGTCGGCCAAGGTGGAGTCCAGTGGTTTAACCATTGTACCACCTGCTGGCTCCTGAGGATCCTTTTTTTTTACTGTTAAACCTTTTTCTCCAACAGTGGTTGTGCTCTGGGAGCCACGGCCTGGCAGGAGGCTCTTAGGCCCTTGGCACGGCTCTGCTGTACATTTGCGAGGTGTTTCAGCCACAGGTCTGTGTTGCCCTACGTTTGAAAAGCAATCTCACCAATGCACACTGTGGGTGGGCTGCCACCCTTTCAGGCTGCAGAGAGTTTCTTTTTTTTTTTGGAGAGGTTTTCGCTATAGGGCGTGCGCTCGCCAGACAGACAGAGAGAGACAGAGAGACAGAAAGCGAGAAATCACCCCGCAGGGGGGATGGTCACGCCGCAATCCCTTCTCCTCCATTCTCCTTTCGGGATCTTGGGCGCGCACGCACACGCACCCGGTGTGAGTTTAAGCCACCGGGTCCCGGACACGAACCACGGTCGACTATGTGGGAGTCCAGCGACATAGCCATTACGCTAACTGCTGGTTCCCCAGAGAGTAAGTTTCTACAGAAGGGTTTAAGGGACCTGCCCAGCATGTGGGGGCAAAACGGGAGCTGGCAGAGTACTATGGCTTTCGTCCTCTTCCTTGCTCTGTGACTGTGAGTGAACCAACCCGATGCCATCTCTGTGCCCCTAGACTCTTCTGCTGCACTTTTTAAAAAGATTTTTGCCGGGGGCCAGCAGGTAGTGTGGTGGTTAAGGGCACGGGGCTCCCACATGGCCAACCGTGGTTCGAGCCTCGGACCTGGTAGCTTTCTTAGTTTCAGTCTCTCTCACACATACTCTGTCCTCTCTGGACAAGTTAAAATAAATAAATAAAGTTAAATAAATTAATAAAAAAAATATTTTTACCATAGGACCTATGCATTCCCCAGAAAGAGACAGAGAGAGAAAGTGAGAAATCACCCTCAAAGGGGATGGCCACATGACAGTCCCTTCTCTTTCATTCTCCTCTTGGGATTTTGGGGACGCGCATGCCCATTCAGGACTCAAACTACTTGGTGGACCACATGGGATCCAGCACCTTAGCCACCACGCCACCTGCTGGCCCGGAATTTAAAGATATTAAATACTATTTTCAAGTCAGACTTTCTAGTTGAGTTGAATTCTTACCTAGGGAAGTCATTTAGACTCCCTAAAGGGAAGCTAGGGTTTTGATCCTTTAGTTCCTTCTTCCCAAACATTCACACTCTCCTCCCTGTTGTTTAACTCCTTTTAGGAAAGGTTCCAGATCACAGGAGGGATAGGAGGGAGAGGGGTAATTACAGCTTCCTAGTGACAATCTCTACTGCATACATTGCCCAGTTTGTAAGTTACCCTCTGATAGGAAACTCTTATCGAATCCTCTCCAAAATTGTCTGCTCAATTTTTTGGCCTCCGAATACGATCAGACACCTGTTCCTTTAGCCAAGGGACAGAGAAGGAGCTACTTAACAACTCTGGCTCAAGTTCTTCATCTGTAAAATGCCCACAACAGGCCTTACCCCGTCACAGGGATTCCGAGATGATGCATAGAAAACAGTAAGTCCAGTGCCCGGCTAACCACGACCAGAATTAGCTGACCATCCCCAGCCAACTAACGACTGCACACATCAACCCTCATGGCCACTCGTGCGGCAGGAGCTGCAGCCTCCACATGAACACCATTTCTCACCCTGTCTAAGGAAGTTCTAAGGCACTCTCACTTACTACACACACTGTCTATATCTTGGTCTGACTCCTAGACCAGCCTGGATTCTACCAGGAAAGGCCTGGCTGGCAAATTCTGAGAAACACAGGGATTGCTCTGGGCTCCCACAGTGCCCTGAGCTACTTCCATAACTGTGCGGTAGGGTCATTTTCTCCTCACTTGTCCAGGAGATCTGTGAGTTCAGGGACCAAATTGGAGACCTATCGCATCCAGGCCCAGCACAAATTTGGTTCAGAAGGGATGGGGTGGGGTAGTGGCAAGGAAGGAGGACAGTTTGAGAGGGCAGGCCCGCAGTTGAGGCTCACACTCTGATAGCCCCCAAATCCATCATTCCCCAGGAGGTTGCATGGGGTGGGGTATGGGACTGAGGCAATGAGCCCAGGGCCCTGGGGTAACTGTTCCCTCTGCCACCTCCCCCCAATGTGGGATGTGAAAACAAGTCCATCTCTCTCCTTCCCTCCACCCTTTCCCCCATCTCACCTGCGCCTCCTGCACCTTCCCTGCCTGGGTCTCCAGAGGGTCAGAGGCTGGGGGAGGAGGGGGAGCAGACGTGGTTACAGTGTGGGGAATGGTTAAGGGGAAATGAAGGGGTTCAAAGTGGAAGTGGGGGAGCAAGAAGGCCAACCTAGTTATACTGGGGTCAGGGGTGGTGGTTAAAATGGGGTAGGGGTAAGAGGGAGTGAGGAAAAGCAGACCTGGGAGTGGAGCGTGCTGAAGGGAAGGTGGTCAGTGTGGGCAGAGTTCAGGGGGAAGAGAAGTTCAGGAGTTGAGGAGAGAAGAGGGACAAGGGCTGAGGGGAGGCTCTGGGGGAGTTAAGATGGACACAGCAGTGTGTGAGTGTGTGCATGAGTGTTGGGGGGGAAGGGTGGTTTACAAGGCAGAGGAAAGTTTAGAGAAAAGTAAGAAGGGGTACCTGAGCTGAAAAGTAGGTTTGGGAGAGGAGGTGCAGGGGAGGTGGTTTAGGAGAGGCACAGGAACTAGAGGGAAGAGATAGAAGGGGACACCAAGGGTCCCCTAGCATCCTACAGTTGCCCCGAACAACCAGGTACCCTTAGCAACTGGGACCGCGGCAATCTACGTCCTTAGCAACGAGGGTACTTAGCAACTAAGGTGTGAGAAACCCGATCATTAATAATTTGGCAAACAGACTCGGTAAAGGGACCCTTAACACCTTGCGACTCAGAAGCCCGCCAACTTAGCAACATGGATCACTTAGCGACAGCCATCCGAATCCCACTCCCACCAGACAGCCCCTACCCACCACCCCACCGCGCCGACCCTCGGGCCCCGGGGCCTGCAGCCCTCGGCCAGGCCCCGGCGCGGCCCGACCCACCCACCGGGGCCCCCGACTCACGGTCCGGCTCAGCCATGGGTGCGGGGCGGGGGCCGTCGGGGCTGTCACCGACTGCTCTGTCCCGTGACGGCACCGGAAGCAGGAGGGGCAGGGAGAGGGAAGAGAACTACAACTCCCAGCAGCCCTCGCGGCCGCATTGCAACTTTAGAGCCACGTCCGGAACGCGCCCCTCCTAGGTAAGGCAGACACGCGAGGGCCGGACTACGAGTCCCAGAGGGCCTGGCGTCGGCAGCCATGTTGGTAAAGGGCGCCCGGCAAATATAGCGAAGGCTAGAGAGCAGTACTCCATAGGATACACTGATTGGCCATGGTGCAGTCCGGGGGCGGGGCGTGAGCTATTTAACCCATTCTGATTGGGTGAATCAGGGGGCGTGTTTGGGAATTTCCCGCAGGGCGGAAGCGCCAGAGGTCCCGGCTGAGCCCAGCGACAGGAGAGCGGCCGCTGGGGGCTCCTGAGATAGAGGGGGGCCATGGCCGGGGTCGCGTGCTTGGGGAAAGCTGCGGACGCCGATGAATGGTGCGATAGCGGCCTGGGCTCTCTGGGTCCTGACGCAGCGGCCCCCGGAGGACCCGGGCTGGGCGCGGAGCTGGGCCCAGGGCTGTCATGGGCACCCCTCGTCTTCGGCTACGTCACTGAAGATGGGGACACGTGAGTGAACCTTAGATTGCCAAACCGATCCCTATGATGCGGGACCCTAGTCTCTGTTAGTCTCTGATCTCTGAGGCTTCCCAACTTCTTACTCCTAAGTCTGACTTCCGATGCTGGACCTCTGCCCTCTCACCTCCAGGTCCCAGCTTCTACGAAATCAATCACTAATCCAACTTTCATCCTAACTCAATTATTTCTGACCTTCCTTTCTTGATTCTCAACTTCTGGAAATCCATATCCTATCCATTGATCCCCAAACCGTTTTTGACCTTCCTGACCCCAGTTCTGAGACTTTAGTTAGAAACCTGGCTCAGTCTTCTCCTGACTTCTAACCTCCAAATATGATCTTTGACTCTTAGCTCCTTAGGCTTTGATTTCCAAATGTAATACCTGGCCCCTGAGTAACATCCTGTCTTCTGAGCACTGGTCTTCAAATCTTAGATTCAAAGAGAGAATGTAAGTTCCATGGGAGTGGGGATTCGTCTGTTAAAGATTCTAGTGGCACACTGCCACATTCCAGTCCCTGTTCTAGGTGCTAGGGATAAGGCCACGAAGAAACCAGACAAAAACGTAAGCTCTTGGGCCAGCCAGGTGGTGTGGTGGTTAGGGCAGCTGGATCCCATATGGGTGACTTGATTGGAATCCTTGACTTCATGGCTTGAGAAAACATGCTGGGCATCTGCGGGTGTACGCTGAAAATCCCCAGGGGAGAATGGAGGAGAAGGAATTGCTGAGTGGTTAGGGGATGCTTTCTTACTCACCACCACTACCCCTTCCTGACAAGCACACTCTTCACTCTATAGCAAATTCAAAAACAAAAACAAAAAACAGAGCCAGCAGGTGGCACACAGGTTGAGGCAGCTGGATCCTACATGGCCAACGTCATGGTTCAAGTACTGGACTCTGCAGCCTGAAAAGCACACCGGGTGCATCTTTGTGAGTGCCCAAAGTCCGGAGAGGAGAGTGGAGTAGAAGGGATTGCAGTGGGGCCATCCCCTCTGGGGGCATCATTTCTTTTTTTTTTCCTTTTTTTGCTATAGGGGGCTCGCCAGACAGAGAGAGACAGACAGAAAGCGAGAAGTCCCCCCCCAGGGGGTAGGGCCACACCGCAGTCCCTTCTCCTCCATTCTCCTCTTGGGATCTTGGGCATGCACACACACGCACCCAGCGTGAGTTTAAGCCACCAGGTCTGGGACTTGAACCTCAGTCAACTACATGTGAGTCCAGCGACATAGCCATTACACTAACTGCCGGTCCCATGGGGGCATCATTTCTCACTTTCCATCTGCCCTCCCCCACCCCATGAGTGCACTCACTTTATATCAAACCTTTTTAAAAATTAAAAACGAACAACAAACGTATGCTCTTGGTGAGTATACATTTTACTGGGTCTATATGGCTAGATTGACAGGAAAGAGGGAAGGAGGGAAAGAAGGAAGGAAGAGAAGATGGGAGAGGAAGAAAGGAAGGCAGGCAGGAAGGAAAGAATAATAAGTGCTTTGGAGAAAAATCAAGGAGGAAAACAAGGAGAAGAGCATTCCGCGCAGAAGGAATAGGAGTTGTGAAGGCCCAGGTGTGGGACTGTCCCTGGGGTTTTTTGTCTGCTGTGCTCACTGCTCTATCCCCAGTGACTCAAAGAGTGCCTGACCCATAGGAGACACTCAGTAACCACTGATCTTCTCGAAGAACCAGCTTTGGTTTCGTTACTTTTTTTTTGCTTTCTCTTTTATTGATCTCTGTTCCGACTTTTATTATTTCCTTTCTTTTGCTTTCTTTAGGTTTCTTTTTCTTGTCATTTCCTAAGTTGGAAGCTGAGGTCATTGATAGGAGATCTTCTTTTCATTTATTCATGCTGGAGTATGTGTATGCACATATGAGAGTGGGAGAGAGATTTGAGCTCTGTCCACAGGGCTTGGTTATGCCACCGCCCCTTCTTCCAGTTCTCTAGCCTGTGGAGTCTTGGGCACTGATGCATGTTCACAGTTGTGTTTCAGGCTGCCCACGCGGGGAATTCAAACTGGTCACCATGTGGGATCCAGCTTCTCTTTCTCTCTTTTTTTTTTTGAGAGATATTTGTTATAGGGTGCGTGCACTCACCAGAAAGACAGAGAGAGACAGAGAGACAGAAAGCGAGAAATAACCCCCCAGGGGAATGGCCACGCTGCAATTCCTCCTCCATTCTCCTCTCAGGATCTTGGGCACGCACACACACGAGCCTGGTGTGAGTTTAAGCTACCGGGTCCAAGACTCGAAATGCAGTCGACTACATGGGAGTCCAGAGACGTAGCCATTCTGCCATCTGCTGGTCTCTCTCTCTCTTTTTTAAAGAATTATTTAATTTTATTTTTCTATTTTTATTTTTAAAATTTGACTAGAGACAGAGAGAGAGAAAGAGAGAGGGAAAGTAAGAAAGCAAGCTGTCAGGTCCAGGACTCAAACTGCTGTCAGCCGTGTGGGAGTCCAGCATGTAAACACCATGCCACTGCCAGCCCCATGGATCCAGGTTCTCTTGAGTAGTGTATTATTATTATTTTTTAAAGAAGTATTTATTTGTGTAATTCCATTTGTTATTATTTTTTAATTTGACCAGACAGAGACAGAGACAGAGACAGAGAGAGAGAGAGAGAGAGAAAGCGAAAGTCAAAAAGCAAGCCTCCAGGTCTGGGACTCAGACCATGGTTGGCTATGTGGGAATCCAGCGCCTTTAACCACGATGCCACTTGCTGGCCCTGAGTAGTGTACCATTACTGCGCCATAGAGCTGGCCCCTGTTTTCTTTTCTAATGTGGGCATTGAATGCTATAAAATTTCCCGAGTAATGCTTTAATGTTATCCTACAAGTTCTGATATGTTGTGGTTTAAGTTTCATTTAATTCAGCTTTTTTTTGGAGAGAGATTTTTGCTATAGGGCACATGCTCTCACCTGAGAGACAGAGAGAGACAGAAAGTGAGAAATCACCGCCCTAGGGGGGATGGCCATACTGCAATCCCTCTCCCTTCTTCTCTCAAGATCTTAGGCATACACACACACACGCCTGGTGTGGATCTTAAGGTGCTGGGTTTGGGACTTGAACCATTATCCACTATGTGGGAGTCCAGCGATGTAACCATTATATCATCTGCTGACCCTTTAAACTAATTTTTTAAAATGTAATTTAATTTTATTCATTGTCGTTATTTTTATTTTAGTTTTTTTAAAAGTTGATCAGAGAGAGAGAGAGAGAGAGAGAAAAGCGAGAAAGCAAGCCACCAGATCTGGGTCCTGAACTGCAGTCAGCCATGTGAGAGTCCAGCGCACTCACCGTGCCACCGGCCGGCCCCCAATTCAGCATTTTTCTAATTCCCTTTTGATTTCTTCTTCTAGTAAAAGATAACTTAATTTAAAAAATATTTATTGATTTATTTCCATTTGTTATTATTACATTTTAATTTGACCAGAGAGAGGCAGAGAGAGAAAGAAAGGGAAGCGAGAAAGCAAGCTTCCAGGGCTGGGACTTGAACTGTGGTTGGCCATGTGTGAATCTAGCGCCTTTATACCACCATGCCACCTGTTATCCTTAGTTTTTTGTTTTTGTTTTTGTTTTTTTGAGAGATTTTTTTCTTATATGTTCATGTGCTCACTGAACATCTGCTGGTCCCAAGTAGAAGAGTATTCTTAGAAATATTCTATTTAGGGGGCCAGAAGATGGGGTAATGGCTATGTCACTGAACTCCCATGTAGTTGACCGCGGTTCGAATCCTGGACCCGGTGGCTTAAACTCACACCGGGCGTGTGTGTGTGTGCTTGCCCAAGATCCTGAGAGGAGAATGGAGGAGAAGGGATTGTGGCGTGACCATTCCCCCTGGGGGGTGATTTCTTGCTTTCTGTCTCTCTGTCTCTCTGGCGAGTGCACGCCCTTTAACAAAAACCTCTCAAAAAAAAAGGAATATTCTATTTAGGAGGTTGGCAGGTGGCATGGTGGTTAAGGGCACTGGACTCCTACATGGCCAACTGCAGTTTGAGTCCCGGACTTGGTGGCTTACTTTCTCACTTTCTCTCTCGCGCACACTCTCTCTCTCACTGTCCCTCACTGGTCAAATCTAAAAAATAAGTAAATAAATAAAGTTAAATAAAATAATTCTTAAGAAAAAGAAAAGAAATATGCTATTTAGGTACTGGAAGGTGGCAGAGAAGTAATGTTCTTTTTGTAAGGCTGGCCTACAATGGAAGGTTCTGGGTTGTGTGCAGAGATCTCCCTGAACATGCTGGCAATGCATGTGCCTATGGTCTGGGGTCAGCTGGGGCTGGCGGAGGTTGGCGGGTGGTATGGAGATCCTATTGGGGGTGCCTGTTTCTCTGTCTCTGTCACTCTCTCTTTTAACTCACTAAAGGGCATGTGTATGCTCGCCCTCTAGGCTGTGTACAGTGGGTTTTATTTCACTCAATCTCACAATCTCTTCCTCTGAATTGGAGTGAGTAGGTCACTTATATTTCTTTTCTTTTTCTTTTTTTTTTTTATTTTATGATTTCTTATTGCTATAGGGTGCATGTGCTTGCCGAAAGACAGAGAGACAGAAAGCGAGAAATCATCCCCCAGGGAGCATGGCCATGCCGCAGTCCCTTCTCCTCTATTCTCCTTTTGGGATCTTAGGCACACACACACATGTGCCCAGCGTGAGCTTAAGCTACCGGGTCCAAGACTCGAACCTCACGTGACTACATGGGAGTCCAGTGACATAGTCATTACACTATCTGCTGGTCCCAGTCATTTATATTTCATTTAATTATTTATATAGTTCTGTTTAAGTTTTGTTTTGATTTTTAATAAATTAAGAGTCTTGGGGGCCACCAGGTGGCATGGAGGTTGAGGCACTGGACTCCCATATGGCTGACCACAGTTCAAGTCCTGGACCTAGTGACTTGCATTCTCACTCTCTCTCTCTCTCTTTCTCTGGTCAAAGTGAAAAATGGTAATAATAAATAAAATAAAATAAATAATTCTTTAAAAAAAAAAGACTCTTGCTATATCACAAACCTTCATTCTCCCAAGTTGTTAAGACTACAGACACATTATACCCCACCTGGCTCTTTAGGGTGGGCCAGTACATGAACCCTGCCTTCCAATATGACCTCACCTGCTGAGCAGCATTGCCCAGTGTGTTTTCCCATGGCTCTTTTTATGTTTATTCTTTTTTCTTATTTTTATTCCTCTGAACTTGTGGTGGCCTTTTCTTTGGCTGCCTTTTTTTTTTTTTAAAAGAATTATTGAGGGAACCAGCAGTTAGCATAATGGCTATGTCGTTGGACTCCCACATAGTCGACCGCGGTTCACGTCCCGGACCCGGTGGCTTAAAACTCACGCCGGGCGCGTGTGCGTGTGTGCCCAAGATCCCGAGAGGAGAATGGAGAGATGGAAGAGAAGGGATTGCAGGGTGATCATGTCCCATTGGAAGTGCCTTCTTCTCTCTGTCTCTCTGTCTCTGTCTGGCGAGCACCCTGACAATTAAAAAAAAAAGTATATAGGAGGATGTCTGTCGTCTACATGCAAATACTGCACCATGTATGTGAGGGACTTGCGCATCCACAGACGGTGTCCATCCGGGTCCTGGAACCAGTCCCCTACAAATACCCAGGGACAACTGTATGTTAGGCTTCCCGAAGTTATTCCACAGCTCACTGATGCTCTTTTCTTTTTTTTTTTCCTTTTTTTTTGGGGGGGGGAGGTGGTTCTTTCTCTATGTTTTCTTCTTAATTTATATCATGATTTTTTTTTTTTTTTGAGAGGTTTTCACTATAGGGTGCGTGCGCTCGCCAGACAGAGAGAGACATAGAGACAGAAAGCGAGAAATCACCCTCCGGGGGGATGGTCACGCCACAATCCCTTCTTCTCCATTCTCCTCTTGGGATCTTGGGCACGCACGCACACGCGCCCAGCGTGAGTTTTAAGCCACCGGGTCCGGGACACGAACCGCGGTCGACTACGTGGGAGTCCAGCGACATAGCCATTAAGCTAACTGCTGGTTCCCTATCATGATATTTTCAAGTTCAATAATTCTTTTCTTAAAATTTGTGCGTGCAATCCCTTCTTTCTCTTTTTGGGATTTTGGGCACACATGCATGCATCTGTCATGTTTTTCAAGCCTCTGAGTATGGGACTCAGATCTTGCGGTCGGCTATGTGGGATCCAGCCACTTTCACCACCATATGCCATTGCAATGTATAATGTTGTTAATCCTATCCAGTGTATGCTTCATTTCAGATATTGAGGTTTTTTATCTGTAGAAATTCCATTTGAGTCTTTTTCTTTATCATTTATGTCTGCGCTTAACTTTTTAAATGTTTAGGTCCAGTTATAATTCACTGTTTTAATGTCCTTGTTTGCTGATTCTAACATCTGCTATAGGGCACGTGCGCTCGCCAGGCAGAGAGAGAGAGACAGAGAGACAGAAAGTGAGAAATCACCCCCCAGGAGAGATGGTCACACTGCAAACCCTTCTCCTCCATTCTCCTCTTGGGATCTTGGGCACGCACGCACACGCGCCCGGACTGATTCGAACATCTGTGTCATTTTTCTAGGCCAGTGCAACTGATTGATGATTTTCATTATGGATTATATTTGGTCGCTTCTTTGCATTGCCTGATAATCCTTGGTTAGATACGAGACATTGTGCATTTTACCTTGTTAGGCTGAATGTTTATTCCTATAAATATTCTTGAGTATTGTTCTCAATCACTTGAAAGTAGTTTGATTCTTTCTTCCTTGAAAGTAGTTTGGCTTTTATGATTTGTGACCTCTCTGCATATTCTATCCAGTGTTTTATAAATTATGAGTTTTCTAGCCTGGCTGGTAAGAACAGGCACTGTTTCTGGCCTTGTGTGAGTGAAGAATACTTTTCACTAATCCTTTTGGATGGTTCCCCTCCCCCCCAAGCCTGACTTACATGCATGTTCTTTTTAAAAAAATATTATTTATTTAATTTTATTCATTATTATTGTTATTATTATTATTTTGCTCTAGTGCACATGCATTCACCAGAGAGAGGCAGACAGAAAAAGAGAGAGAAGGAAAGTGAGAAAGCAAGCCGCCAGGCCCAGGACTCAAACTGTGGTCGGCCATGTGGGAGTCCAGTGCCTTAATCACCACTCCACCTAGTCCCACATGCATGTTTTATCAGTGTCTTGAATATTCTAGCACCCCCTGCACATCTCCAGGGTTCTCTCCCTATGCAGCCTTCTCCTCTAGTTCTCTGTCCTGTGACTCAAGACATCCTGGTCTCCCCAGACTCTCGGTTCCATCTCCTCGCCTCGGTCGTTATGCTGGGCTCTGCCTGGGTTCCCCCTCTGTGGAAAAGCTCGACAGTCAACTGTGGCAGTCAACTGCAGGGCTTACCTCCTGTTCCCTGCCTCTCAGGGACCACTGTCATTCATGGCAAGACGTCTTCAGAACTGTCATTTCACATACTGTATATTGTCTGAATTTGTTGGGGGTTTTAGAGGGAAATCTGGTCCATGTTACTTCATTTTGGGTGGAAGTCCCCCTTAATAAACACTGATTATATGGATTTAATGAATTAACTCGAACCTCTGGCCCTCCCAGATAGCTGACAACTCGTACTAGAACTGTGGTCACAATGCCCAGCACACAGTAAGTGCTCCCTGTTTGTTGAACGAAGGAATGTGAGTGTTTGTCTGCCTCACCAGGGCGCTACACCTGGCAGTGATTCATCAGCACGAGCCCTTCCTGGATTTCCTCCTAGGCTACTCGGCTGGCACTGAGTACCTGGATCTGCAGAATGACCTAGGCCAGGTGAGCTACTAGGGGTCAGTGTAGGGCTCGGGTTCCAGGGTTCTCAATGTGACCTCTAACCCCTGCACTCTGTTCCTGCAGACAGCCTTGCACATGGCCGCCATCCTGGGGGAGGCATCCACAGTGGAGAAGTTATATGCAGCAGGTGCCGGCTTGTGCTTGGCAGAGCGTGGGGGCCACACTGCACTGCACCTGGCCTGCCGTGTGGGAGCGCACGCCTGTGCACGGGCGCTACTCCAGCCCCGCCCTCGGCGCCCCAGAGTAGCCCCTGACACCTACCTCACTCAGGGCACCGATCACACCCCAGATACCACCCACACCCCTGTTGCCTTGTACCCCGATCCTGACTCGGAAAAGGAAGAAGAAGAGAATGAAGAGGACTGGAAGCTGCAGCTGGAGGCTGAAAACTACGAGGGTGAGGATCCTTATCTCTGAGAAGGACTCGGGCTCCTGGGCAGGGCGGGAGCAGCATGCCATGGGCTCAGCTTCCTGACTCAAGACCCAGCTCCTTAGGCAACCAAACTGAGGCTTCAGGGACCCACGCATTGGGCCCAAGGACTCCCACCTAGAGGCCTACCTGGGACTCAAAACCTGTCACCCACAGAACAGAGCTGCCAGGACCCAGGTGTTGGACCCAGACTCCCCACCTGCTAGGAGCAATGCCCAGCCCAGCCAGGATGTGGGGATTCAAAGTCTACATCCTCTGTGACGATTCCCAGTGATAGGCAGCAGGGTTCAGGGACCTCCCTCAGCCGGGCTTCATGGGAAGAAAGACCCCATCTACCCATGGCCCTGGCATGAGTCTCAGTTCCTCCACTGATAAACTTAAGTCCCTGGGACCAGGCCCCTCTGTATAGACAGATCAGGGCCAGCAGGTGGCATGGCGGCTAAGGCACTGGATCCCACATGGCCAACTGTGTGGTTGAGTCCTGGAACTGGAGGCCTATAAAGCTCTCTGTGTACCTGTGCCTGCATGCCCAAAGTCCTGAGAGGAGAATGGAGGAGGGGGGATTGTGGCGTGGCTTTTTCCCCGGGGCATGATTTCTCACTTTCCCTGTCTCTCTGGTGAGGGCACATGCTCTGTAGCAAAAACAACAAAACAGATCACCCAGGACTCAGTGTTCTGTCCCACCCCCACCCCAGGTTGCAGGCCCTTCAGTTACTTGGCACCCAGGTCCATTGTGAAATCAGACCGGAGCTCTGGTCTCCTGGCCCCAAAGTCCTGGGACCTTGGGCTTCATGTCCAGACAACCGAAGCTATCCACCCAGAGGCCCCAGACATCCCTTGTCCCTGGCATTGGCACCTATGGTCCCCTCAGACCACCTGAGACTTAGGGATTTGGAGTCCAGGTGCCTCTGTGACATACCCAGGAATTCAGAAGGCAAACCCCAAATCTGATCACCCTCAGGCCAGATGGCCCTCCTGCAGGATCATGGCACTGGGGGCCCAGGCCCCTCATGCCACTGTCTGACACCAGTTTCTCTGTTCCTAGGCCACACCCCGCTCCATGTGGCCATCATCCACAAAGACGCAGAGATGGTTCGGCTGCTTCGAGAAGCTGGAGCTGACCTCAACAAACCGGTGAGCAGCCCAGGGCAAGGATGGCAGTTGGGGGTGTCCCCCCTCAAGCCCTCTGAACTCCTTGCTGTACCCCATAGGAGCCCACATGTGGCCGGAGCCCCTTGCACCTGGCAGTGGAGGCCCAAGCAGCTGACGTGCTGGAGCTTCTCCTGAGGGCTGGTGCGGACCCTGCGGCGCGCATGTATGGTGGCCGCACCCCCCTGGGCAGTGCCACGCTCCGGCCCAACCCCATCCTTGCCCGCCTGCTTCGAGCACATGGAGCCCCTGAGCCTGAGGATGAGGACGAGAAGCCTGGCCCTTGCAGCAGCAGCAGCAGTGACAGCGACAGTGGGGATGAGAGCGTGAGTCATGAGGAAGGATAGGCCCACTGGGGGGGTCGGGGTAAATCAGCAGGTGGGGACGAGAAGGTAATTAGACCAAGGAGAAGGTAATTAGACTGTGCTTCGACTGACCTTGGGCTGCTGGAATCAGAGAGCCCAGGTGGCAGTGCAAGTGACATGGGTGGCAGTCAGGAGAGATCTGGCCAGGGGAGGCAGGAGGAATCTGCGTAAGTGACTGGCTGAAACACTGAGGCAATGGCAGAGATAGAACTCAGGCAGAGGTGGGAGAGACCTTGGTCGGAGTGACGCGAACATGGGCAGAGGGAACTGGCATTGCTGGGAGTGATTTTAGGGAGCAAGAGTTGGGGAACTCAGGCTGTGGGAAGATGGCCCTGAGCCATGGGAAAGACCTTAGCCAGCAGTGAGGAGAGGTTTAGTTGGAGAGTCCAGGCAACAGAGACATGACCCGGCCAGGAAGCTGGGGAAAGGCAGAAGGCAGGTGTACCCATGGTTGCTGAAACTGAGGGCGGCAGCAGGGCTGGGACTCCAGGGTAGCAGTGGGAGAAATGACCTGCCACATGGTGCTTTGAGAGCTAGGCTCAGGGAGCACGGGAGCTCAGGCTTCAAGGCAAGACCCAAATTTTAGGGTGCTGTGTAAGAACTCGGGCAGTGGGCAAGGTGGCAGCCACCTGAGCCCCTCTGCTTTGGCCCCTCCTGTCCCCAGGCTGAGTATGACGACATCGTGGTGCACAGTGGCCAGAGCCCCAGCCAGCTACCTTCCACCTCAGCCTCAAAACCTCCTGCCGACGACCCTGACCCTGCCTGATTGTTCAACTGTTAATATAATTTCCAATTTAATAAAACCCCGGTTCTGACAGTCAGAGACCAGACTGGTGGTCCTTTTCCTGGTCTTTCAGTTTACTCCCGGGTCCCGCCCCTCCGAAGTCAGGAGCCACACTCAGCCTTAGTGCTTTTCTTTGTGCTTTATTCATCAGAAGGGCTGCGGTGGGTCGGGGGTGTTGGGGTGTGTTTCCTGAGTCAGGTCTGAGCCCAGCCCTACTCAGCTCAGACTTACCCCCATAGGCTTGGTTCCAGCACCCTTTCCCACCCACAGCAGGCTGGAGGGGTGGAGTAGGGTGCCTGCTGAGGTGGGGGCTTTGGGTCAGCAGTCCTAGGCCGTAAGGGTGTGTTGGGGAGGACAGAGGTCAGCCCTCCCTCCTGAGCTCCTCCCCCAGCACCTCTGAGGCCTTCTTCAGCTCATCTCGCACGTGTTCCAGCCTCTCCACAGCATGGTCCTGGCAGGATCAAAGAGGGCGATGGTGACCGCACTGGGTGCCATAACCCCGGAAGAGTTATGTCTGCCAACGTGACCAGCAGGGAGCTCTCTGGGAACTGCCACGGCCAATCGCAGTGGACACAGGACTAGCAAAGGTGCCCAACGTGGATGGCCCATTCATCACTAATGGCCACTTTGGTTACTGTCATCCTTCAGGTGACGTGTTACTCTCCATGGCCCAGCATGATGTCTGTCTGTAGCCCAGTGAACCAGCCATGCAGCCATTTGTCATGGTGACCAACTTGCTCACCGTGGCCTGGCGTTGTGGCTAACTCGGTGCTGCTATGCAGGAATGGTGGCCATCTTGGTTACTGGGACTTCAGTGTGGAAGCCACCTTGGTCGAGTAGAGACCCTCGACCAAGGGGGTCTCTACTCGACCAGGATGGTGTCACTTAGTCCTGGTGTCAGTCGTGGTCACTTGAGATCCATTTGTGATGGGGACATCACTGACTGCTTGGCCAGCCCCCCTCCCCACTGCCCAAGAGTGGCCCCTCCAGCACTCACCTCCCTCTCCAAGGCTTCTTCCTTCTGCTTGGACTCAGCTTCTGGCTGCTGGTGGTGATGGTGGTGGTGTGGCGAGGCCTCGTGCCTCTCTCCTCCACCCCTCTCGGTCCCCTGCCACAGGTTGTGGCCCCTGCCCAGCACCTGCATGGCCTTCTCTGCCTCAAACTGGGCTGTCTCCTCATCGCTGGCCTTCTCCGCCACTCGCTTCTGGGGGCCCCCTCCGGCCTCCAGACGCTGTTTCCACAGCTCCTTGAGGGTCTCCACGGGCCCCTTCTTTTCCTGCTCCTCTTTCTCCTCTTCCTCCTCCCTCTCCTGGTGGAGCTGGCTGTGGAGCTGCTCATGGATGGCCTGTTCCCGGACCTCAGACTTGTGGGTCCTCTCTGTGGCCGCCTCCTCTTCCTCATCCCTCACCTCCTGGCTGGACCTCGTCTTCCCTGAGTCTTGCTCCTTGAATTCCCCAGCCAGCAGCCCTTTGTCAGCCGTGGCGGACATGCAGCTGTAGGGCTCGGTCTCGCACATCTCTGGTGGAGAGAAGGGTGTTCTCTGTACACTAAAGTAGGGAACTGGAGACCTTGGAGAGCTCCGGGCTCCCCTTGAGTTTGCACAGGGCTGTCCAGAATGGGGAGGAGGGAGGTGATGGGGGGCTCCCGGCCCCAACCCTGTCCCTCTACAGGGTGCCCCAGGCCTGGGGTTGCCAGGCTTTGCCACATGGGATGAGAGGGCTCTGGCCAAGAGATGAGGACGGGTCTCCCTCAGGTGGCCATGGCGGAGGGCAAGATCCTGGGTGGGTGCCGTGGGCTCTGGAGAGGAGCTGGGGCCTGGCCCTCCTTACCTTTTTGGAGCAGGGCCATGCAGGGTCCTCTCTGGGCCTGGCCTAGTGTCAGCACCTCGGTGACCACCTCTGCCATACAGCGGGTCAGCTGGGGGCAGGGGTGAAGGGTCAGAGGGGAGGCCGAGGGCAGGGAGCTGTGGGGAATGCCAGTGGATGGAGGGCTGCACAGATGAGCACAGAGTAGGGCAGGCAGGAGGGCATCTCACCTCTTTTTTGGAGGATCTTGGCGCCAGGGGAGCAGCCATGCCTGGAGAGGAAGGCAATGGGTGCTGAGCTAGGGGACCCCCGGTGCCACCCAGTGTACTCATCCCAGCCCCGTGGGTGGGCGGGGGCATCCCAGTACCCGACAGGGCCCTCCCCAGTCCACCTGCCAGGGTGCACTGTCCGCACATGGAACTCAGCCTGTCAGGTCCAGTCGTCGGGCTGGCCGCCCAGGCCCCTGGGATTTCTGGCGCTCACCCGCCCCCAGCAGCAGCGGCAGCAGCAGCAGCAGCACCGAGATGGGCCTGCGGCACGGCATGGTGGGACGGCGGGGCAAGGTCCTCAGCTCTGCGGCCAGGCGATGGCGCTTTATAACCCGTGCTGTGGCCCCTCGGGGCAGGAACTGACGTCACTGCCGCCCTCTCCTTGCCGGCAGCGGGGCGACAGCTGCAGGGCGGCCGCCTGCCGAGACCCTCAATTATTCATGGGGACCCACGCCCTGCAAGAGTTCCCCTCCGGCTTCTGGCCCAGGCCCACCACGTGAGAGCTGGGCCTCTCTTTCCAGAGAAATAGGGACTGAGCAGCTTGCACGTGGCCGGAGGCAGCCTGGGTTCCAAACTGGAGGCAGCCACTCGCCCAACTCCAGGCAACTCCTTCCCTTTCCTAGGCCTGAGTTTCCTCATCTGGTCGGTGGGACTCAGTAGTTGGGTTCTGGTCTGAGTCTCAGCTCCACACTTGCTAGCCCTGGGACAGTTGCTTGACCCAAGACCGTTTTCCTCATGTGTCAACCAGGATTGGTGACAACCTACCCACCAGCTGGATGGAGAGGACGCAGTGCGTGTGGTGCTTAGGGCAGCACCTGGCACGAGGGTTACGCAGGCCCCAGAACCTTCATCCCAGTTGTCACCAAACACCTACAACATACTGGGTCCTTCTGTCGCAATGAACTGGTAGGCATCCCTGCCCTCCCTGCCTTCCCTGCCCTCTGGGAGCAGGCAGTGGAGAAAGGGGGGGGTTTGATGATGGCATGTCAGGGGAGCCAGGGATGCATCCCCAAGTAGACACTGCGGTAGATACAAGGGCTGTGTGGCTTCACTTTGGTCCAGGTGGTCAGGAAAGTCCTGAGGTGGGGAGTTCGGACAGAGGCCTGAATGGTAGAGGCAGGCCAGCTGGGATGGCACGGCAGTAACAATGCTCAGAGGCTGAGGCTACATGGGAGGGTCCTGGGTACATGGTCAAGGTCTCCCTGTACACCTGAGTGTGCGTGCACATGCGCCCATGCCCATGATCCTCATTGGCTGAGGTTTGGGGTGGGTTGCAGCGTGAAGACTCTGACCTCTCACTGTCTCTCATAAACGTAAAGGGCTTGCAGGTGGCATTGTGGTTAAGAACCTAGATCCCATGTGGCCAACTAGGTGGTTTGAGTCCCAGACCCAGTGGCTTGGAAAGCACTCTGGGTGCATATGCATGCCCAAAATACCCCCACGGGAATGGAGAAGGGATTATAGTGTGGCCATTCCTCCTTGGGGTGATTTCTCACTTGCCCTCACTCTCTGGTGAGCTCATGCACCCTGTAGCAAAAAACAAACAAACAAATAAATAAAAGGGGGGAAGGCATCACTGGACTTCCACATGGCTGACCGTGGTTCAAGTCCTGGACCCAGCGGTTGAAACTTACGCTGGGTATGTGTGCGAAAGTTCCCCAAATCCTGAAAATGGAGAAGAGATTGTAGCAAGGCCATCCCAAGGGGGTGATTTCTCGCTTTCTGTCTCAATCTCTCTCTGGCGATCACACATGCCCTACAGCAAAAAAAAAAAAAAAATCTGGGCCAGCTGATCCCATATGGTCAACCATGCAGTTTGAGTCCTGGACCTGGTGGCTGGGAAAACACGCCAGGTCCGTGCCTGTGCATACCCACAATCCCAGAGAGGAAGAAGTGAAGGCAGGATGGCAGCATGCCCGTCCTCCACGGGAGCTGCTTTCTCGCTTTCGCTCTCTCAGGTGAGCACACGTGTCCTCTGGCAAATCTAAAACAAAAATACTTCTGAGCTCTCTTGGTTTTAGCATCATCTTTTTGGAAGTCTCTGTGCCATGAGATTGAAGAGGTGAAATACAACAAATGCACAAACCAAACTGCAGAAGGCAGAGGCGGCGGTACAAAGAAACTGCGTTCGTGCACCCTTGGAGGGCACGGGACCAGATTCGGGGGATCAAGGCTGGGACGCTGCCGCAAGCTGCCAAACTACAAGCTACCGTCTTGAACTTGTCTCAATGGATCTAGAGCTCCCATCACCCATCTGCTTGCTGAGACCACCTCTGAGACCCACACCACTCATGCCACAACAGCCTCTTAGGGTCTTGTGCCCTGGACCTGTGCCATTCTGCAGCTAGTTTCATTTGTGGCTGAATGTAATACATGTATGATAAATCCCTTCTCTTTTTTTTTGGAGAGGTTTTTTTGTTATTGGGTGCGTGCGTTTGCCAGAGACAGAGACAGACAGAAAGCAAGAAACCACTCCCCCAAGGGGGATGGCCATGCCGCAATCCCTTCTCCTCCATTCTCCTCTTGGGATCTTGGGGACGCAGGCACGTGCACTCAGTGTGAGTTTATGCCACCGGGTCCAGGACTTGAACCACACTCAACTACATGGGAGTCCAGCAACATAGCCATTATGCCAA